CACACACACACACACACACACACACACACACACACATAAATAAATAAAATTAAAAAAAAAACCAAAACAGATGGAAAAATCCTCAATAAGATACTGGCAGACAGAGTACAGCAAATCAAGAAGATTATACACCATGACCAAATGGGATTTATCTCAGTGATGCAGGGATGGTATAACATGTAAATCAATAAATGTAATGCAACATGTTAACAGAGTCAAGGAAAAAGTCATATGATCATCTTAATAGACACAGAAAAACCTTTGGATAAAGTCCAGCACCCATTCATGATAAAAACCCTACTGAAATTCGGCAGAGATGGCCTTTATCTCAATCTAATGAAATCCATCTATGACAAATTTCCTGTACACAGATAACAACTGCCAACATCATACCAAATGGATAAAAACTGAAAGCTTTCACTCTAAAATCAGGAACAAGACAATGATGTCCACAGTCTCCACTCTTGTTCAACATGGTTCTGGACTATGTAGCCCAAACAATTAGACAAGATAAAAAGAAAGGAATAATGATAGGAAAGGAAGAAGTTAAATTATCACTTGCAGATGATATGATACTTACACAGAAGACCCAAAAAATGCCACTAAAAGCTGCTAGATTTAATAAGCAAATCCAGTAGTGTACCTGGATACAAAGTCAATACTCAAAACTCAATAGCTTTCTTGTACAGAAATAACAAATTCACTCAGAGAGAAATTATGGAAACACCTTTCACAATAGCATCCAAAGAAATGAAATACCTAGGAATCAATCCAATGAAGGATGTAAAAGATCTCTACATTGAAAAGTACAGTATTCTGAAAAAGACTGAAAAGGATATCAGAAAATGGAAAGACATCCATTTTCTGATATCCTCTCCTGAACAGGAAGAACCAATACAGTGAAAATGACCATACTTCCAAAACTGTTATACAGATTTAATGCAATTCTAATCAAAATTCCAACAGCATATCTCAAAGAATTAGGGAAGACAATCCTAAAATTCATTTGGAACCAGCAAAGACAAAATAGTAAAGTCAATGTTGGGCAAAAGGCAAGGCAGGGGGCATCACAATCCTTGACTTCAAATTATACTATAAAACTACTGGGATAAAAATAGCATGGTATCAGCAAAAAAGAGAAAAAACCCTGAAGATCAATGGAACCAACTAGAAGATGCAGAAACAACTCCAGACATACTCATTCACTGGAAGAAAGATAGCCTCTTTAACAAATGTTGCTGGAAAAACTGACTCTGCCCATGCCGATTAAAATTGGACCCATGTCTTTTACCATGCACTAAACTAAATTCAAAATGAATCCAAGATTTCAGTTCTAAAACAGAAACACTGAATCTCCCAGAAGACAGAATAGGTAATACTCTTGAAGACATTGGTATAGGCAAAGATTATGAACAATACCCTGATTGCACAGGTACTATTACAAATAACCAACAACTCAGAACTCATCTCTCAAAAATCTTTTGCACAGCAGCAGAAACCACCAAGACAGTGAAGAAATAAACCATAATGTGGTCTTTTTATACAATGGAATACTACTCAGCCATAAAGGATAAACTGGAGACTTACAGGTAAATGCATGCAACTTGAGACCGTACTCCTAAGTGAAATAAACCAGATGCACATATGCAGATACTGTATTGTTTCCCTAGTGTGAGAAGCTGAAAAAGTAAATGAGATCCAAAATGTACAATAGGTAGTGTAAAATGGGAAGAAACTGTTGAAAAGAGAAACTAGAATGGGGAAAGAAGGAAGGGAAAAGGAAAAAGAAAAACACACACATACACACACACACAAGGTAGTTAAGACAGTTATACTAATTCCTCCTAGTTCTTTGAAACGAAAGGTTCATGTCTATATTATCTGGACAATTAAATGCCTGTTTCTTGGACTCTGAGCAACTAATTTAAAGATAACAACTTGCAATGTACTAACCATTGTTACCTTCCTATTATCTTGTTTTGAATTTTTTTAATCTTTTATAAACAATAAATAAGTGAGTGAACATAAATCTTATGCCTTATCCCTCTTTCTTCCTTACTAGGAAAGGAAAAAACCTGTCTTTAAAAAACAATTGGGAGGGCTGGTGAGATGGCTCAGTGGTCTAAAGCACCTACTTAGAACAAGCTTAGCAAAGCACAGGGACCGCGGTTCAATCCCCCAGCACCACATGCCAGCCAGCCCGCCCCCTGGTGGGCTGAGCTGGCCACACACACACTAAATAAATAAATAAATAAATATTAAACACACACACACAAAAGCTTCTTAGCGCTTTTAAAAAATAAACAAACAATTGGGAGAAATTGCTGTCTCAGCGTTGTCTCATCTCTAGAATAATTCTGATCCCTCATGAAGCTGCTCATGAGATCTCTCATGAAGGCCAAAGAGAGATGACAGTCATGGGTTCTTACATACAAGGCTAAGCATGGTCAATTCTCCTAAGTGACTCATATTATGAAAGAGGAAGTAGGAGAGAAGAAAAATTTTCTAATTCAATTACCCATATTAGAACCTAGAAAAGTCAAGTGAATCTTGAGAGAATATCAGATGAAAATATAATCAAATGACTTGAATTTTGTATTTTCATTTGCTTTCTGGGGTAAGGTCTGATTCAGCTGATTTGCTTTTCTTTAAGCAGTGTTCAAAAATAATCCTTCAGCTGCAAGGCTTTATATTATATTCTTCTATCATGAGAACATCTTCCATCTGAAGAAGATTCAGAACAGTGTGTCTCATATTAACAAGTCATATGTATCTTTTTCTTTAAAAGGAAAAGTTTCCAGGCATGGTGGCAGATGCCTGTAATCCCAGCACTTTGGAGGTTGAGGGAGGAGACGGCTGTGAGTATGAGGCCAGCTTGGGCTACACAGTGAGTTCAAAGCCAGCCTGACTTATATGGTGAGACTTGTTTCACACACACACACACACACACACACACACACACACACACAAAGGAAAGCTATAAAAATTCATCTAATTTTTGTATGACATTAGGCCAACTCCAGCAGTCTATATCACCCTATGTAACTAGAAGAAATATGTAGTAACTTCTGTTATTTGGTTAACTTCAGTTCTAGTATAAAATCATACTCCTTCATGTTAATCAGGGCATGCATTCACTTATACAAAATATTATATAAAATAAGGCAAAAAGTACTATATACTGGCCTAGGAGCCCCAAGGATGCACACAGTACAGCTTACTTACGTATTTATGTTTTCCAAATAGATATGTATTCCGATAAAACCTGAAGAAAGTAAGAAGACCCCTACTTACTCCTCCAATGATTATCAACGTTGTGGTTTCTGGCATCAGTGCTAACACAGATACGATGATCATGAATAATGTTGTTACCATTGAGTTGATAATATCCTAAAGATACAGATAAGGAAGTCAGTTGTATATAAAGACCACAAATGGATAGGAATATAGCTCAGTGGTACAGCACTTGCCTAGCATGCATAAGACCTTGAGTTTGATCCCCAGAACCGAGAAAAAAAAAAAAAAAAAAAAAAAAAGACAAGACCCCTCCCAAGCCATGCAAAACAAAACAAAATAAAAACCAAACCAAACCAAAAAACAAAGGTCAGCGCCCTGTAGCTTTTTTCTGTGCTAATGATTAGACCCAGGGCCTTGCACACGCTAGACAAACACTGTATCTGAGCCACATCCCCAGCCCTCTCTAAAAGTTCTGAATGTTTCATTTTTATTAAACATATTGTTCAAGAAACCCAAATGCCATGGTAAAAATGACACATAGTATGTGGTCTCCACTGACACCTAGTGGTTCCCTTTATTTATAATACACCCATCATTTAACTGCTTAAGGCTTAATTTTCTTAAATACAGGTGGAGTATCTGGTTAGCAAAGAAAGTAAATGACGCATTAAGTAGAAGATTTAGGGTACAGTGGATACCCCAAAAAGTCAGAAGGCCCAATTTTAATACTGTATGAGAAAATGTATAAAACAATTTTATGTTCCTTAAATAAAAAAAAAAAACATAGAACAGTATGCTTAAGACAAAATGATCACTTCTAAGATAATCTCACAGTCTACACACAAAAGCTGACCAATTATGTCATTTGTTTATATAGCTCATTTAATAATTCTCCAGAATGAAACATTTTAGTCTGAACCGCGGCTCTAGGAAGTGCAATTTAGTTGCTCATGGCAGTGCACACCTGTAATTCACTAGAGGCTGAGGAAAGAGGATCTCAAGGTCATACCATCCCGGGAAACTTAGACCCTGTCTCAAAATATATTAAAACAGGGCTGGTGACATAGCCGAGTGGTAGAGCTCTTGCCTAGTGTGTGTATGAGGCCTGGGATTCGATCTCCAGTACTGAAATAAAAAGAAATTGAAGTTTTCACTGTTGCATGAATGTGTACTGTGGGAAAGTAAACTGTCTTTATTCTAAGACAATTTAGCTTATTTGCATTTGTAGGTAAGGGGGCAGGAAGGAATTAATACAGAAATACTAATGTTTAAAATGTGGATAACTTAGAAAAATAGCTAGTAAGTACAATGTAGAAAGAGGTTCAGTGTGGGTAGGGCAAGATTAGATATACTAGGGTCAGCCAAATAGCTCAGTGGATTAAAGCTCCTGCAAGCAGGCGGAGGGGCCAGGGATTCGATCCCCAGGCTTGCCAGTGCCAGCCCCACCCCCAGGGTACACTGAGATGGCAATTGAGACTGGGCATGGTGGTGCGCGCCTGTAATCCCAGCACTTGGGAGGCTGTAAACAGGCAGATCACTACCAGTCCGATCTAGTAGTGAGACCCTGCACACCCTGTAGACCCTTCCCT